CACAGTACTTCACTAACATTCGCTAAATTTTCTTCGAATTATATTGATTCTTTATTACCAACAATTGCATTTAGTAATAATAAAGTTCATTCGATTAATGAAAATGATTTAATTAATTTAAATGATTTCAAAGTAAAAAGACTACATATTGCAATAGTGCAAGTCTTTTAATAATTGATCAAAATGCTTTTAATTCTTTGACAGAATTTCAAGCTCTATCATTAAAAACTAATCTCTTAAAATCATGTGAATTTTTCTCAACATTTCGTTTAGTTTCTTCAAGGAGGAAAAAGCGAAGCTTCAAAACAAAATACTTAATGCATTCGTACTCTACTGCTACTCCACCCACACACTTCAACTTTTCTTTTGGACTACATGGAGTATCACTTGTTTTCCCTTGAATACGATGGAGTACAGCTAAAGTACAGCTCGAATACGGTTGGAGTATAAGTGGAGTACTGTTGGAATACAGCTGGCATACAGTTAAAATTCTAGTAGAGTCTAAACTAGAGAAAAAAGAGGTACTTTATGTATTTTAAAGGAAAAGTACAAGTACAGCTAGAACACAGTTAGAACACGATTGTAGTACGCCTGGAGTACATATATTTTCATCTCTAGCGTTTCCTCCTTCGATTTTATTGAAAAATAAATTTAGCAAAGGAAAGATATTTATGAGAAATAATTCAACATGTTCTAGAACTTCAACTGAAAATGATTATAAAAAATGAACCATATGATCATAGACGAGTAACAAGAAATATGTTCACATTTTCTTCGTCTTGATATTCTCAATAAAATAATTTATCTTTGTCACCTTCTAAACCTATACGAGTCTTTCTTTTGCCGTTATTATTCATATCACTAAAGGTATTTTTTTATTAATTATTAACTGATTTAAATGAAAAGAAATTTCATCTTTTAATTCATCTTTTAATTAATTTAATTTTTGCATTAATTTAATTTAAAATTTCTTCGGTAGATTGGAATGGTGTTATTTTATTAAAAATAAGCTTTCGAATATTTGCAATCATTTTAAAATTGTGTTCATTTTCCGATGAGATCGATTAATTCGAAGGATAAAAAGAAACATATCTTAGATAATGAAAAAGAGATAGTTGAGGTATGATACAGATTAGAGTTTTATAAGATATAATAAAATGAATAAAAGATAGAAGAATTTGAGATATACTAGATCGTGTATTATACAATAATTTCATCCATTGTCGTATTTGTTGTCATTCATGTTTTCATTATTTACTAAAACTAATGATCAAGACCTTTAAATCAAATGATGAAAGTCTGATGGAACACCCTAATACTTTCACTCTTACTCCTCATTGTATATTTGTACTATCAAGGAATTGCTCTTATAATTAATTCTATTAATACTGGATAATTAAAAGTATTGACAATTTGGAAATGTAATAAAAGTAAAATCAACTTGTAACTCTCCGCGTTCCCGATTACAAACATTTTTCTGCTAATTGGCTTCGATTTTGTTTACAATTACAACATAGTATCTTCGTTACAATTTAATCAACATATTTATCAAAGTTTCTTAATATTTGATGTAAAATCCTTTTCAATGCAATTAATAATTTCTGCCTGTAGTAATTTGTTAATTATCATGAACGAAATATATTTATCTTTCTCACAATACATTTTTTTGTTGAAACAATGTTTACAATATTAATATTTACAACTAAGAAAAATATGAGAAAAAATTTTCTGGACAAACAAATGGCTCCCAAATTACAAGAGATTCTATTTGTGTATAAGTACGTCGTGCTGCATCATTAGTAAAACCCTCTGTTACAGTCACTAATGTTTCGAATTTAATGTCGAGATGCATCAAACGAGGTAAACTAGTGTTTTTACCGAAGAGAAATTTTACGGCATAATCAGTATGTACCACTGCGAGATCGAGTCTGAGTAGATGAGAAAATGTGATAAATGTAGACGAATGTTCCTTATTTTTTTGTGATGCTCGATTAACAACTGGTAGACTTTCGAGAAATGGAAAATCTTGTGAAATGATTTTAAATAATTCATTTTCAAATGGACGTGCATAGTCCATTACCAAACATCGAACTTTATTGAACATGCCACCTTGAAAACGACTTGTCATAAATAAAAAATCATTGAAATGATACGGAAGTGAATAGACATGACAGCAACTCCAGTTTTTGTACGTGAGCTGATCATCGGCATATGAATTCACTTGTTGATATCCTCTTTTGATGAAACTTTTGAGAATATCGTTGTTCGATGGATGATCAATATCAATGTCATTGTTGAAAATATTAGTATGCATACTGAAATAAAATTTGCTTAGTTGTGGCATATATATGAGGAAATCATTGTATAATTGAGTACCATCAATATAAGTTGATTCATTTGTTATTACTGAAAGAAATAATGTTAATTCCTCAAGATTTAACATTCGAGGAAGTAATGGAACAATACGATTGTCATAAAAACACGTATACCAGTGCGATCTTAGTGAAAAACATTTCAATTCAGGAAGATTTTTCTAAAAGCAAAACAATCATTAGATTTCATAAGTTTTTTTATATTTAATATTCACAATTATACTTACATTGTTATCGATATTCGGCGATGTCCTTCTAATTTTCATTATATCAATAATCAACATAGACAAATGTTTGAGACGTCCATCAAGAAGATGAAGACAATCATCAAAGGTATGTAGAGTAATAACTAATTTAGTTAGAGATGAAGATACACAAGTTGTTGATGGTAGATCAAAAAACGAAAATTCTATGCGTTCATCTATCCACCGTAGACCAAAGGCCAAATCAGTTAGACATTTACCAATAGATAACATTAATGAAAATATGTCTACTTCATTTCGACCAGGTGCGCCTCTTTTTTTATCACAAATACTGACTTCAAGATGTGTGATTTGATTAGTAAAAAGACGAAGAAGTATATTGTCACCTTAGATGTACAAAACAAACCCTAGTAGTTCATGAAAACAAATCAAATTTACAACTATACCTGTTAAATGGTGAAAAAGTGTTTCTGATTGAAAATTGACTAGTGATAAAGATGTAAGAACAAGATAATCAATAGCATTAAGAATACATTTCATAGAAAGTGGTTCAATAGGGAGTTTAGTTACTCTATTATGAATTTGAGGTAATATTTTTGTACGAATTCGATCGAAAATTTGATTATTTACAGGAGAATTATCATTAAGCAATGATAGCACTGTTAAATCTAAATGACGAACATAGAAAGGATCGAGTATATTCACATCGTTGTTATTTAACGTATTCATATTCATATCTATCTGATATTTTTTATTGTGTTCAATTTCTTCTTCTCCACATCGATACATGCATATATACATACATGTGGGAGTTGACTTTATAATTCAGTTGCCTTTAAAATACTTGTGAAAATTTGAAAAGACAACTAAAAATAGTTGACATTGAAATAGTTTTGAAAAATTTTAAAGTCAACTGCGACATATGTCTTGAATTTTCTCATTGCCGTCTATGAGAATAATGTTGATATAGTCATGTTAGACAATGATGAATGCCAGAAGCTATTGTCCTTTTTGCCTAAAATATTTTTTTTATTGTTAAAGAATAGATATGATGCGGTCATCATTTATGTGAAGATATTTATCATATATTAAACGTATTATAGTCGATAGGACAATGCTGTCAATTATATATATATAAATCATTAAGCTATCTATATCGATATTTTCTCTTTGAAAGAAGTGAAAAAATTTAATTGTATTATTCATTCAGAAATGAGGATTTAAAGAAAAAAACCAGTAGAATTTTATAGTCAGACATAGTTGAATAATACATGAATCTTCTTCTTCGCTATTTTCTGGATCAATAGTTAAAGAAAGATTTTTTGAAATATTTCTATCGAAAGATGTAGAAAGATTTGTTTTGAAAATGATGGACTTTTATACTAATCAAATATTTTTATTGGTATAACTTAAATTGGCGTATAATTTTTAATAATTTCATTACAAATGACTTATTGAATTTATAAATGTTGGGAAAATTAGATTTAGTTATTGAATGATAACCTTGTTTTTGCTCGATTGCTAATTGTTAAAGATAATTCGTCGATATTCGTCGTTCAACATCGAGTTTTTGTTGTTCAGCTAGAAGAAGATGATCTTGAACAAGTTTATTTTTAGTATATGTATCGGAATACCATTATAACAAGAAACGATACTTTGTAGTGAACAAAAAACCTATTTGAGCAAGTAAAAACAATCAAATTTTAAAAGTAGTTTATCTTACTTTTACACTAAAATCTAAGTTTAAGTACGACATTTGAACGATTATTTCAATCAATAAAAACACCTAATCATTTTATTCTTTATTCATGTCATTTGATCGTCAAGTAATACATTTGGCATCAAAGTTGAATAAAATATTATGGATTTTTGAACGATAGAATACGGATGATTATTAATGCGTAATATATCCTATCTGGTTTTATCATACATTTAACATTCATCATTTTGAAATACGCATGTGATAAGTAAATGATGGTGAATCGAACTAGATAAATAAAGAATGAAGTTTGATAATTGTGTATGACATAATCTGAATATGAGAAAGTTTTCATTCATCATCATGAATCTTTGGATTTTATTTATCTGAATACTTGGAAGTGAATCAAATAAGTAGATTTATTCTATTGAAAAACTTGTTATATTATTTTACTTTTCTTCCCGTAATCTAAAGTACAAAAACTTTATTTTTTTTAATAAATCGAATGATATCATGAAAAATATCTGATTATAATAAAGACAGTTTTATCTTTTACTTGGATCGTCGATAAATATGTGACGGAAAGGAGAAGAATAGTAAAGCGATCACAAAACAAATGCATATCCTCATTCATTGGTAATGATTTTTTTTTATTTTCAACATTGTATTAGCTACATATTAGTTTTGAAATACCTTCTTCGTTTTATTTCAGCATCACACTAATTGATGGTATTGGATCTTGATTTTGTTGTTGAAGTAACTGGTACAATTGCTGGTTATCCATTTCATACTGTTAAAGTTTGTTTACAAACACGAACACTCAATTATCGTTTATATTCTAGTTCATTATATTATTTTATTAAAATTTCAAAACAAGAATCAATTTTAGGATTTTATAAAGGTATGTCATCACCAATGTTTGCTGTTGCAATCATAAATGGAATTGTTTTTTCTATTCAAAATCTTTCAAAAGATTTATTTAATGATCCTGATACTTATTTTGCATTAGCAATAACTGGTGGTATTGCTGATTGTACATAAGCATTTATATGTTCACCTGTTGAACTTATTAAAACACGTTTACAAATGCAAGGTATTGGACAACAAAGAAAATAATTTATTTTATTAAGGGGACCCCCCCCCCCTCAGGAATCGTTTTTCGTTATTCGTGGACCGACTCGCTTGAAATTTTTAGGCAATATGGGTGCTGTGTTAACTCAAGTCCTTGCAAATTTTTGGCTCATGAAGCTTTTGCTTTAACGAGTTATTGACAAATTAATCCCCAACATGATGGTCTTCGTAAGGTACAGATTTCTCAGACTGTCGAAGACTCAGAGATACCGTTTGTTTTAAATAAAAGACAAGACTTGAATCTAGAAATGTATATACTGTTTTTTCGAAATTCAATTTTGTTCGGATTTCCGAGACATTTTCCTGCAATAACTCGGAAATTAGTGCTTTTTGACATCAGTGTTACCCATTTATCTCCGCAAGGAAATCGAATTTCGAAAAAACGGTATATACATTTCTAGATACAGGTCTCATCTTTTATTTAAAAAAAACGGTACCTCGCTACCTCTTCTACAGTTCGAGAAATCGGTTCCTAGCTCTCCAAAAAAGTGATTTTGAGAAAACCAATCAACAAGTTTGTATGAAGCAATTTTGAATTTCACTATGACTGTCACGACCTCTATACGGCAATTTCATCATGTATGCAAGATTTTTAGCAGAAATGACTACGTTTCTCTAATTAATTAATATAACAGAACGTATATGTCTTTTGCATTAAACAAAATCTACAAGTTTGTTGATCACTGTCACATCTCCCTAACGAAAAAAAATTCTGATAAAACCTTATATTTCTACGAGTGCTCCCAAAAGACCGCTATTTTCACCGTCCAAAACCATTCAAAGTGCAACAAATTGCACATAATCTGAAAGAGGACACTTTGGGCTTTCAGCATATATGCTTATCACAAAATCGATTTTTTTCAAAAAAATCGATTTTCTGACGGGGGGTTCTCCTTAACACATTCATATAAAGAATCAATTGACTGTTTAAAAAAATCATATAAAAGACGAGGTATTCAACATGAAATTATGCGTGGTTTATCAATGACATTTGCTCGAAATATTCCATCATTTGCTGCTTATTTTCCCGCATGAAAATTTTTTATTACAAATTTTTTTCAACATGAAAAAAAATTGATATACCTGTTTATTTAAGTTTAATTGGTGTGGTTTTACGGATATTGCTGCATGGACAGTTTCATATCCATTTGATGTTATTCAAAGTTAATATCAAGCAGCACGTGATCATACATATAAAGTTGTTTGGAATCGTGCAGTTAAATCATTTCGTACAAAAGGTTGGCATGCATTTACTTATCCTGTTTATGCATTATTAAAATAAACGTTTGATAAATCAACTAACGATTTAGTTTATATTTAATTAGTATATCTCTTCCTTTTTTAGTTAATTAAAATTATAATTAAATTAATTATTTTATTTTATTTATAACAATTATAAACAATTAACGTTTCGAACAACAATGTCGTTCTTCGTCAGAAGAGAGAGAGGGAAATGAAGAATTATTTGATATTGTATTTTTCTTTAATAATGATACGGACGATAAACAATACATCTTTATCGTACCATACTATTACCGCCTCATCCGTGCCATTATTAAAGAAAAATGCAACATCAAATAATTCTTCATCCGGTTAGTTCTCGTTTCGTCGAAAAATAAAATTTGAATGAAAACATGCAGAATGTAATTAGCTTATTCACAATCATTTCATTTTCATTAACAGACTAATTCGAAAAAATGATTCTGAGTGGATCTGTTGAAAAAATTTATTGAGAACATTATAAAAATTACACAGCTAATGGATTCAACTTACTAATGTTGA